TTGTGCTGGATACGGGCATGAGTGAGAAAGTGGAACAGGACATCAAGGCGTTCCTGCATCGACGAAAGTGGTATGCGGATCGGGGCATTCCATACCGAAGGGGATATCTCCTGCACGGCCCTCCTGGCTCAGGGAAAACATCCTACATTCAAGCGTTGGCAGGATCCTTATCATATGACATATGCCTACTCAATTTGTCGGAACGAGGACTCGGGGACGATAAACTTAATCATTTGTTATCAAATGCACCAGAGCGTAGCTTTATACTCATTGAAGACGTGGATGCCGCATTTAACAAACGCGTGCAAACAAGCGAGGACGGGTGAGTAGATGCCTTTCCAATAGCTCGGAACGTAATACTGATGGCACACGCTAGTTACCAGTCATCTGTCACTTTCTCGGGTTTTTTGAATGCTTTGGATGGTGTTGCCTCAGGAGAGGAGCGCATTATTTTCATGACGACAAACCACGTTGAAAAATTGGATCCGGCGCTCATTAGGCCGGGGCGTGTTGATCTAAGCGTGCTTGTTGGTGACGCGTCGCCCACACAAGCACGCACGCTCTTTACACGTTTCTACGGCGGTAGTGACTCTGTCACAGCGCAGGAGGTTGTGGAACGCATGGGGAAACATGTAGAAGAATTAACCACCGATGAGATGCGTAAGGGGAGAAGAATTAGTATGGCTGCCCTCCAAGGCTTGTTCATCAGGAACGATGCTCAGGATGCGGTCAAGGCCCTTCCCGAGCTATTCTTTGAGACACGGACATGAGTAGAAGTAGATAATTGTGTGGTATCCCACAATGAAGGTCCAGTCGTCGGAGAGAACTGCGCGAAAATCCACTAAAAAGTTGTCTTGCGTTTGCGGCCCGTGTATTTTGAATCTCTTGGAACTCCTTCCTTTCCTCGCTGGCGATAAAGCTAATAACATGATGAGCAAACAGACATAGTCAGTTTCCATTTGGCTTACCTCTTTTTTCCTTAGTATCCAATCTCTGTCTTTGATGTTCTTTCTCTTTCCGCTTGTACTCCTCTTCTTTTCTTTCTCCCGTCTTCTCTCGAATCTTGCGTGCTCGTCATCTTCACCCTCTACACCCTTAGGCATTTGTTGCTGCGTGCCTCCTCCGCCGACAAACAAGCACAGGAACACCTTCCTCGCCTTTTTGGAATTTGGGTAATCTACCACCACGCCTCCCCCGAAGCCGGCCTTTTGTGCTATTGAAGTAATCAGTTGTATTTGATCATCGGAAGTTGGGTAAAACTGTAGGACTGCTCGGGATGGATTACGAAGAGCAGAGTGGAGAGTCGTGAAGAAGCGAGTCAGTCGGTGCGGTGGTGAGGACGTTGGATGCGACGTTTCAGCATTCAAAAGCCATTGCAGAACAGATATGCTAGTAAATCGTAAGATGAGGCTGCGCAGAAAAAATCCATTTGCAAACCTTATTGCTCCATCAAAGCTTCCTGGTCGGAAACCAAATCCCTGACCGATGTCTTGCAAGAAAAGGTCACCGTCAAGATCCCTCTCCAGAGCGACCTCTAGGTGTGATCAGCCCCCGTCTGGCGCCTTCTGTATTGGATACTCACCGAGCATACTTGGCGCAATATCTACGCCTGCCCAGATATGTCCCTCCTCGTCCAAAATCTCACCTGAAAGCCCAGACCCGCACCCAATATCCAACAGAAAGGCAGGCTCATCCGGGGGAAGATTTAGCAACTCTATAGCACGGTACGTCATGTCCGCCTGGATCTGTTGATTACGGGTGCTTGCATGGCACTTGAGAACGACAAGGAGATAAATATCTGATCAAACATACTTTTGAGTGTATTTCTTGGCTTCAGCATCACCATAATACTGTAGATTTTTAAAAGTTAGTCGTACCCTCCCCGTGAGGGCGAAATAAAATATACAATCTCTGGCGGGGCCTGGTACTCTGGCCGTGACATCTTTCCTGAGCTGCTCTGATGATGATGAGGTGTGGAATTGTTAGATTTGACAGGCACGTGCATTCGATCTATTCAGAGCCCAATTTGGCAGTAAGTCGTCGAAGTCTTGTCGACGATGGCGACGACGAGCAAACAGTACAAAGCCATCGGAGAGGACCTTTGGAAAGGTCGCACAGAAAAGATTGTGAGATTTGGACTTTGTGTCCCATCTTTGGGTCAACTAGCCCCTCACTGACCCCCGAAATAGAATGCAGAACTATTTGCTCTTACATATGGTGCACTCGTCGTCCAGTTGATCCAGGACTATGAAGATTATGCTGAAGTGAACAAGCAACTTGAGAAAATGGGATACAATATTGGGACACGTTTAATTGAAGACTTCCTTGCAAGGAGCTCATTAGGCCGTTGTTCCGATTTTCGAGAAGTGGGCGAGGTGGTGGCGAAGGTGTGCATTCATTCCTATCCTGCGCTGACGTTCTTAGAAGCTTCTCATTTTCAAGGTCGGGTTCAAATCCTTTCTAAATATTACACCAGCAGTCACACACTCTGGTGTTCCACCTCCATCCCGCACAAGTAGTACATCCCAACAGTCAGGAGGTGCTGGCTCGTCGTTCGTTCTGACCCTGGATGAGAATCCCTTGGCTGAATTCGTTGAACTCCCTGACGAGGCATTGGAAGGAGGTTTATGGTTCAGCAACGTGCTGTGTGGTGTTCTCAGAGGATCACTTGAGATGGTAAGTCCACAAATTAAATTGGCGCAACTATGTATCACGCCTATTCAAAGGTCCAGATGCAAGTGCAGGCGGAATTTTTGTCTGATGTACTTCGGGGGGACGAGAGCACGGAGATTCGGGTGACATTGCTGAAGTATCTGGAAGAAGAAGTGCCGGTAGGAGAAGATTAGAGCAAACAAGCGGCCGTGCATCATATAATAGTGTATTGTGTAGAAGACAACTGGAAGAGAAGAATATGGGATAGGTGCGGAGCTCGAGAGGATGTAAGTGACTTCCGAGGATATAAGAACACATAGCTGTGTGATAACGTTCCTAAATACCCTCAGCCCCGACGATCGACCCTGTTGAGTTTCTTCGCAGTCCTCGCGTTGGTTTGGGTATTCTGGCCGCGGACGGGCAGACCCATGGCATGCCTCTTGCCGACGTAACTGCCAATCATGCGCTGGTGCGCAACATTATCCTTAACCACTCTCCTGGCTTCGCTTTCAATTTTAATGTTTCTCAATGGATCTGCCCATGCCTTCTTTGCGAGCTTCTTCGTCTCCTCCTTCAGAACCGCAAGCGGAGTTGAGGCCGGCGGAGGTTTATAGGATAGCGAGGCTAGTGGCATGCGGGGAAGTGGGATTGACGTAGAAGGGGAGGAAAGGAATGCGGCAAGCTCTGTGATTTGATGAGGGGTTAGACTGCGCACTTTGCATTTGTCGTGAATTTGGAGACGCGCGCAAAGTCGATGTGCAGTTTTGTGGCCAATACCATAGAATGCAGTCAATGCGAACTAGATTTTCAGTGAGCAACATCTGGGAGAAGAAATCAGCTCAGAAATGTCGCACCCTCGCATACTGGTAGTCTGGGAGCTGCACTCCCAAAACGTGAACCATGGCTTACTCGGAAAGCGTGCTTCAAGTGTAGTTGCAACAAAACTTGTTCAAAAGTAATTTCATACTCCGCGGACGACTTCAACTCGTGTGAGCCGTATTCATCTCACAACGTCCAACCCCTTCTCAGCGCGTCATGTCCTCTAACAATGCTGAAGGTCGTCGTGAGGATGCTTTTGCCAAGCAGCGTGCTCAAAATCGCGAAGAATATGAACGCCAAAAACAGACTCTCATCAACGAAACAGAGAAATCCCGTCCCTCAGCCAGCAAATTCGTTGGCCAGAATGACTCCATGGAGGAAACCCTCAAGAATCAGACCATCGGTCTGGTGAGGCTAGAGGACTTCCAGCAAAGAAGAAAGGAGCTGGAGGAGGCAAAGGCACGCGAGGCTGCTCGCACCAGCGAGCTCAAGTATGTCATTTTCAGTATCCACTAATTTTTTCTTTTGTGCTGCGTTTTCTATGAAGAAAGATGGCTTATATTCCGTGGAGGGTTTGTTTAGGGAAGAAACGAAGAGGATAAAGAAGCGCAAGAAGATCAAAGCTACCCTATCATTTGCCATGGATGACGAAGGAGATGCTGGAGGAGATAACTCATCACGCCAAACTCCCGAGGACGACAACGGGGAACAAGTGTCTAAGCGCGCCAAGTTCCGCAAGAATCCCAACGTTGACACGTCATTCCTCCCTGATCGCGAGCGAGAGGAGGCTGAGAGAAAAGAGCGTGAAAGGTTGCGCCAAGAATGGATTCATAGACAAGAGGAGCTTAAACAGGAAGAAATTGAAATCACCTATTCTTATTGGGATGGGAGTGGACATAGGAAGTCGGTTGTGGTATGTTCTCCCATGGGTCTATTGTTCAAGCGCTCAAGCACGGCTTCAGTGCAAGAAAGGTGATACTATTAGCTCATTCTTGGAGAAGTGTCGACAGCAGTTTCCGGAATTGCGAGGAGTTAGCGTTGACAACCTGATGTACATCAAGGAAGACCTCATAATACCTCATGTGAGTGATTGGTAGAATTTCTCTATTGGCTGTTTATTAATCTTGACAGCATCACACGTTCTATGACTTCATCATCAACAAAGCTCGTGGAAAGAGCGGGCCATTATTCAATTTCGATGTTCATGATGACGTTCGACTCCTTGCTGACGCGACCAAGGAGAAAGATGAGTCACACGCCGGTAAAGTGGTGGAGAGGAGCTGGTACCAACGATATAAGCACATATTTCCTGCGTCTCGATGGGAGGTAAGCGAGGTCGTTCTTGCTTTGTCGATATTTCTGTTAATCGAGGTGTAGATATACGACCCAGAGAAAGAATACGGGAAGTATACTATCGCTTGATATTCTGCAGTTCGAAATGGATTCATCCAACAAACTTAGTGTATACAAGTTAGTGTATCGCTGCGTAGTTTGACATCCAATCCATTCAAAAAATGAGACAAAATGAATGCCAGGACCGTGGATTGAACACGGGACCTCCAGAAGAACTCGTTAAACACTTCAGTCTGTTGCTCTCCCAGCTGAGCTACCCCGGCGATCTCCAGGAAGAGTGGAGGAACTTGATGGAGTCCAAAGATACGAGAGTCCATACTCCATGTGTTAACGAGAGAATAGGTAGCATATATTGGAAGTATCTCGGATGATATGCTATAGTAAATAGACTGGCGCCGCCATACCAGATGATATGATACATGCTTTGTCTCTCTAAGTCAGATACGAGGTGAAGATTGCGCGTTACGAGTCAGGGTAGGTGATCGATATAATGTGACGTGATGTCGAAAAGCGTCCAGAGGAGCCCGTGCGTCGTGATGCTCCGCACGGCACTAACGCCGAGACCACGATATATGCGTGCTAAGCCAGCAAGGACGGGCTTTGGATCTTTAGGATCCGGACCTAGTAAATTTTGAGCAGTCGTTACAGAACTGTATTGGTCTGCCGTACCGCGCACGAGGCGACGGAAGGTTTCCCATACTCCTCTCGGAGGAGTACCAGCCAAAGCACGTTGCTGAACTTTGGTCTTTACTCTGATGAGAAGGCAAGGATGAGCGGCGCGATACCAAATGATGTGTGTGTGCTTACACATCAAGGGGATAGATCAGTGCCCATGAAGACACGCCGGCAAGTGAACCGCAGACGAAGGGAATCAAGGATATTGGTATCGGCATCCATGTTGGTGTTGGTCCTTGCTCTCCCGAGCGCTGGCGGCCTAATATATGTCGCATGGCATCATATTCGAAGAAATATAAAGCAGTGCCAGACGTATCACGCACTATGGAACGGGACTCGATCAGGAATAACAAGCAGCGAAGTACATTACTTACAAAAGTGTAGACGGAACCCTATCCAGAGCCCGGACAACCCATGAGCCCGGACTATCTCCCGAACAGCATCGAGAGTATTTGGGGGTTTAACTAATTGTATGCCTTTACTTGCCGCTATGCTGTATTCCAATTGCCTTCGAACCTGTCAGAATATTAGAAGTTTATCTTCCCAGACAAATTGGCCAATTATAATGAATACCTTGACAAGCTCGAAGGCTTGTTTCACATGTCAGTTGTTTCACGAACAGGGTGTATGAGCACGCACGTGCGCTGGTAAACGAGATCAATGACCCAGACAAGGCACCACTGAGACCACCCGCAATGGCAGCATCAGAAGCTCTATCGCCTGTAAAATAGTTGTTTTTGCGACAATACTCTTTTGTACCACTATATATAGTGAACGAAGCGGCACCTGGATAGTTGTTAGATGTTGTACAGAACAAGCAGTGGGAGGACTCACGGACAAAAGAGATCGTGACAAGCGGTATCCAGAGGCCTCTATAGAAGCCTGTCACCCCCTCTTCCCGGTAGACGATACCAGCAAGCCTGTGCACTGGCATCCGTGTCTTGGTCGTCTGCAGTCTCGACTTCAAAGAATCCAACTGTGAAACCTCCGGTCAATAAGTTCCTTCCAACAAATAGAAAAGTTAGACATACTGGATATCCGACAAAGGTTGAAATGTAGCTAGCTGTGAGAGCACAGACCACTGGCTTATTTCCTAGCAGAGGCATTCAAGTTATTGCAAAGTCGATCTGTGTTTTTCCATTCACACATACGCTTCAGAACATCGTTAAAGGCATCTTTGTTGAACCATGGATTTATTGGTGTGCTGAAAGCCTTTCAAGAACTGACACCTTGCGAGCAGGCCAGGTGACGGGCGCACCTTGTTCCATCCATGCTAGCTCTTCTCGCTGGACCAGCCGAAAAGTCCTGTTTCGTGCCTCTGCCAGTGGGTGGCGAGAAACGCCGGGCGTGATCTCAGTCGGAGCCAGAAAGAAGAGCTGGAGAGAGGAGATAGGGAATGTCCAAGACGACTCGATATTTAGGCTTGCAGAACCTCGAAGGAGTCCGAGGAAGTCACGCGTCATAAAAATTGCCCATATTTGGTTGTCATATAATGCGAATTACTTGCTAGGCCCAGGGTCCAGGCGCTTCCGGCAGCACCTGAATCCATCCTACATTAATATTGTACCTGTCTCTACCTAAGTATGTGACTTTGATGCAACCTTGGCAAAAGGGTATGGGCCGGTACAAATTTGTCAAAACCCACCCAACCTCTTCTTTACAGGCCGCTTGTTCAATGGCGCAGGTCGACCGCCATGCGGTCCAGGTAACACTTGAGTACTTGTCATCAACTCTTGGGAGGCTTGTGAGGGTTCAGCATAATTTCCGTACGGAATATCTGCGGTTTGTAACTTGGGGCCTTCAGGCTGAGTGTTAGACGTCTCCCAGTGTCTATGAGCAGCATGAATGCGAGGTGGACGGGGCACGAGGCCTGCAACAACCAGCGGCGGGCGCTGTGATGATGTGCTCGTCGTTTGCGCAATGACTGGTGCTCGATTGTGGAACACCTGTTCTTGGGAGGGATCGCCGCTTTCTGTATCGTATGGATCGCGGTATGTATAGGACTCAGTGTCCGTTCCCACTTCCCACTCCCTCAACAAAAGTCGCACACCCAGCGGAGTTGAGAACTCCACATCTTGTGCATCTTGAGCGACGTCCTTGTCTTTGAAATTATCAGGGTAGTGGTTGACACCAAGCTTGCGGCGTGGGCGCAGGTAGCTGGGCTGGATCTCGGGAAGTTCATCATCAAGTGTCAGAGCTTTTGTCGCAAGGGACACGAACTCTAATTTGCTTTCTTGGGTCGAAGCAGCAGGCACAGAAACGGGTTGAGCTGAGAGCGCCATGCTGGAAAGGACCAAATCGACTATAAGCTGCTCTTGTGACTCTTCCTCTTGTCGCACCAATAGCTCAGGTGCATCGATGGAGTAAGATAAATTGAACGCTTTGAGACGACCGCGCATATCCTCCCAGTGGTCCACGCGACCAAGCCCTATACGACTGAGGAACGGCTTGAAATCGCAACACCACGCAGCACCATTCGCAATGTTCTGAATTGGCAAATCGTTGCGCACGAGTGCTCTGTATCCGAGGTTCGAGTTGACAATCCCACCAGCGAAAAAGTCTGCTCGCGAAGCTTCATCTGGCTCCTCGTCAGCACGAAGGCAAATCTCATGCCTGGTAAATATGACGGATCAGTGTTTAGGAACGACAAATATTGCAAAACGTCTCACAAGGTCAACATCGTCTTATCAATATCGTTTGTTCTTTGCCAAAATTGAGATAGCTTGTCTATCATCTCGACAAGTTCACCCTCAGCGGCTTGTTCTCTCGCATCCTCCACGAAGAAAATTTCTGAAATACAAATTAGCATGAATTCAATGATATTGAATTACAGGTGCTCACTCTCATATGCAATCCGCAAATTTAACTCAGAAAAATTCCTTGCACTCAGTAGCCCGTACTGAGGCTGAAGCTCTTTTGCTTTTTGAGCTAGTTCCTGAATATCAGAGGACCATTCATGGCTAGTGGCGACATTCTGTCTCGGGGGTACGTCCACGTCATTGCGACATACAGTAAAGTCTTGGCAATGGAGGCTGCCTTGGGAAGAGAGCCGCAAGAGTGAAAATGAACACCTATCGGGCTGGACAGAAAATGTACTTTCCGACTCAGGCACACCCATATCTCCGTCGTAAGGTAAAGATGCCGGAACGGAATGGCAATGGGTCAGATGATCGTTTCCTCGAGATACATCGTAAACGGTGACCAGTCCATTTTTGAGCGAACTTAGGAAAGTCAGGGGACCTGCAATAAAGGTAAATAGAGAAGTCCATCATTCGCCCTATTCCGCACCATTGTCTAGATGTACAGCTCGAACGTTGAGCGACCTATCATGCGCCCGGTTGTGTCTAAAGCTCAGAAGCGACCTTTTCACGTATCGCTCGTCCAGCCATATGAGCTCGGAGGTCGTTGAGAGGGTGAAAAGGTGTTCTCGCTCTAACCAGTCAAAAGATGTTACAACAGGGCCTGACCCGTCAGTAGAAAATAAGTCAACAGCAGGTTGGCTTGTCTATCTCACTGCGTTAGTCGAAGTATCAAACCGGCTGACTAAAATTCGTACCCTGAGATCAAGATGTTTGATGCAGCTACTCGATGCCAAGAAGCAGCCTTGGTCAGACGGATAAAGCCTCCAAAATCTGTCCTCATTGGTATTCTCAAAATTAGGTCCTACGCGTCGCCTGAACAAGACATGAGTTTGGTACAATTAACGAGAAAAACTACATACACGGCTTTTCCACCTTGATATAGAGTGCAGTTGTAAACTGCTCCAGAGGTGTTCACAACGATGATATCCGAGTGATGGGGTGAAAACGCGGCATCTACCAGGCTTTTGCCTCCTGCGTCGTCAGATAGTATGTCCACTTCTCTCGTGGCCTTGACGTCGGCTCCGTCATTCAGCAATTCAATGTTCAAAAGAGACGTTGCAGAGAGCGTCCTGACCAAAACAGAATGTGTACTATGCCTCCTCGATATATTCGGGGTTGAAGTCTGGAGAATGGGTGTTTCGAACTTGAATGCGGCACGACCAGACACGCGGAAGGTTGAGGAGTTTGAATCAGTAGATGTCATGAATGAAACACCTGGTATTGAAGCTAAGGATGACTAAATGCAGATTGTGCTCGACGGCTTACTCAATTCACTGTTGGTTTCTCCAGCCGGAAAGAAGACCAGGGATGTCTGAGGAATGTTGGAAAATGGCGCAATGCTAAGGAGATTGCCTCTCAAAGGATCGTAGACTTGTAACTCTCGACTTTGTCGCTCATCAAGCTGAAATTCCGCCTTGACGAGCTCCATAGGGAAATCGGCGTCAGGGAAACACGTTCTAACAAAGTTGAGCTATAAGAGGATACGAAGTCAAAATAAAGCTGAGAACATGATGAAGTATCATACTCCTTCTTCAATTCGTTTCCATTGTGCAACGCGACTGGGTGTCGGATTCACAGGTCTAGTGGCAGGGAAAACACAATTCCCTGTTCCAATTGGTGTCACTCTTCGAGCTGGCGGATGTGTAAACAGCTGGAAGGAAATGCGCCTGTGCACGAGGTTAACGCTCACCGGATGATGTATCTACAACGGCTGTCCAAGCTAGCCG